GACGTGCATCTCCTCTTGACGGAGTGCATACAGATTCACGAGAAGGCTCGGACATGCACAAACGCTTGCATGCTGAAAGTGCACCGCACTTCTGCCATCAAGCCAGCTTGACAGGTTGACCGGCTTGCTGCAGATTTTCACGGAGTTCCCTATGATTGCTTACAGGGAAAGCGACGCAAAACCCTGACAGTTGTGGGATGACTAATCGGCCATCTCAAAGAGAGGCCTTGCAGGATTTTGGGCTCTTGCTCAGTGGAATCCCGACAGCCACTTGGCCAATCGGCTCAGACTTGGGAATTGGCATTAAGACGGTGCAGCTGTTTTTCTTCGGGCCATTGGCTCCGGTTGCGTATGTCAGATCCGATGCTGATAGCCGGCAGTTACTCATTAGCGCTGAGGTATACCGAAGTGCCAAGCGCACGTTCGAAGCCTTTCCATCCTTAGGCACTAGTTGTAGAGTCAGGCCTAGTTCGTGCTTCCACATGCCTCGGCCCGCTGTTATTGTCTGCTGGTGCAGCAGGGCGTTTACATCGCGTCTCCGACCCGTGCCCAGTTTCATCTCGCAGAAGTTGTGACCGATGCCTCCTGATGGATGGCACCTCCACGGCATGTTTCATGTTTGCCACCCAGATTGCGGCAGACATGCTTGCACGGTTCTGCTGCGCGAGCAACCTTGTAGGAAGCTCAGAGAGAGGATTGACACGGGTCGTAAGTGTTCATGAAAGTAAGTGTTGGTCATGAAGAGCAAAGTGGCAGACAGGATTGCCAGATCACAACAGGCCTTGCCTTGTTGCAGCTCCTTGGTTCGACAGCCATGCTGTGCTTCCACTGAGCTGCAACGGGGGACATAGCTTGGACCTGCCCAAAAAGCTGCCGGAGCGATGGTCTGGTGTGCATAATCCGGCATGCTGCTTTTGCACACCTTGCCAGTGCGCGCTAAGTGGCTCCAGCTGCTCGCACAAGCTCAAAAGCTCGGCAAGCGTCCACAGAAGGGCGCCACAGCATCGCAGCCACACTGGAAAGCAACTTCCTTGACCGGTTTGGTTTTCGTGGTCGCAATGGCTCGGCGGCGAGTGGCTTGGTACAGATAGCCCAAAACACGGATGTGTACGGCGTGTGTCTGTCGCCGGCGTAGATTTGGAGCCTTGGAACGGAAGCCTCGGAATGGCAAACCCGAGGTTCTGACCTGGCTGGCTTCGGCATTCCTTATAGGTGAGTTGCGCAGTGCCAGCGGCGCATGTCCTGAGAGCAGTTGGAAAGTGGACCGTGCCCGCCCCCTTCAAGCGTTTTTGTACCATTTTTGCTAGGAAGATCTCACATGCAGTTGTTGGCAAGCCGACGTGGCGCCCAAGTGCAACCCTCGCGGGTGGGAGGCCAAGCCTTCACTGGCAGCCTGGGCCGAATCCGAGCACGTGCGGTGCAAGCACATGCGGAGCCCGAGCCGCGCGGCACTAGGGCCATAGTGCAGCGGGCCTGGGGCCAAACTGGGGGAGCCAAACAGGTTGTACATGTTGAACACCATCGCGTTTCTGCATTGCCCCAGACATCTCACGATAGACCAGCCAAGGTCCAAAATCACGAAAGTGGAGATATGTATCCACAGAGATTGCAAGCGCAGCTCGGTTCGCTCATGCAGGCAACTCTTTTTTTGGTGATTTGTTGCCGCGCTCCTTGCCAAGTTCTTTGCACATGGTAACTGGATCTGAGGCCGGGGTGGAGGACAAAAGCTCAAATCAGTTTTTGAGGAGCTGGCAGATGGAACCGGCATTGAGGCGCAAGTTGCAATTATTCAGCCAGCATCAGAGCCGCAGACAGGTTGGGGAGTACGATTGCTTCGACGAATGCCCCTTCGGACCAAATGTCAGGCCGTACCATCGTCGTGCCATCGTGTTATCGTGCCATGGTTTTCTCGCAAAAATGTTTGAGGACGCTTGAAGGCCCGGATGACCAGTTTGGCCGAGTTCTGAACGGCGTGAAGGGCAAGGCTCAAATCGCAAAGATACTTGGAGTGGAGCCGCGTCTTGGCTGATATTGGCCGATGAATTTCTTGGAACACACGTTATTTGTCCCGCCGGCCGCACAAATGGTTGAAATTGGTTGTGCTTGCGTGTTTGTGTCATTTGGTATTGTCCGTGATGAGTGCCGGGTATGAGGCCGGAGGAACCCTGATGCTCGGCCTTGCTGAGTAGTGGATGGCACTGCCTTGTATCACAACAAATGGTTTCGCTGCATAGATTTGATAAGGACTTCAAAGGCACCAATGCATTTTTTCGGTTTGTTTTGGCTAACCCATTTCAATCACGCCACATAAGCCTTATCCATTGAGTCCATGACTCGCGTGGTGTGTTGCTGGCGAACAAAACATGGTGCATCATGCTGCGCCCTCACACCCGTGTGTGCTCGATGCATTCGGGGGGGGGGCAGGACGGCCAACAAATCTGATACTGAGTTTTTTGAGATAAAAGGATCCCTCGTTAAAGTATTTTCATCAAAGTGAGTTCGTTTTAGCCTCAAAATGTGGCCTTGCCCCTAAGGATGGCAAACTTTTTGTAGGGGAGCTTGGGAGAGGTTAGGTTCCCTCGAATTGAAATCACAATGTTTGCTGACCGTTTGGCTCAGTTTTTTGGACGCTTAGATTGTGTGGACTTTAGAGTGGCACGAATGCTTCAATTGCGCCCATGCCTTGGCTGGGAATCGCTGGATGTTCAGACATTCGGGAATTTGATCTTGAACAAATTCTGCAGGTTCAGCGCCGACGGCAACGGTGCCTATACAACGTTTGCATGTGCGGTCATCCAAACCGGTTGCGCGGGCTCAGGCGGGGTTGTGCGGAGTTGATGCATTGCGTTTGGTGATTTCAGCATGTATTTCACAACCGAGCGTCGATCCACAAACAAAGGCGTCCAAAGATCGCTGGCTCAAACATGTGTGCGCCCAAGAAGTGTGTGATGCGTGTAACCTGCGCCCCAGTATGGTTAGTCCGAGGCAACGGGCACTTGCGCACTTCTGGCAGCTGTCGCTGGGGTCCGCAGGCGCTGTCAAGACAAGTGTCACGTGACTGTCACACATTGTTGGACAATTTGTTTCATACTCGAAGCTAACACCATTTCAGGATTGGGATTTGAACCGTGGAACATGGCTTGGCGAGGTCATCAAAACCGGCATCATTGGCCGAGAACTCGATGGTTTGGCAGCTGTTTCTCGAGTTTTCCGCGACAGCATGCGACCGCGTTTGAGTTCAAAATCGTTCGTGCAAGTAAGAATGCACATTTGATGCAAACTGTTGAAGACGTCGAGCATTGATATTGATGATTGAGAGAAATACATGTTGGGTACAAACAAATCCGAACATGCAAGAACTCAACAATCGATTTACTGGCAAGACTGTGCAGGATTTCAGGAAGTTGGATCAAGATCAATTTCATTGAATGAGAGGTTGTGTGTTGATTCCGCGGCGAAAACATGGATGCGTTTGCAGACTTGAGGCCGGTTCGCGAATCCGAGTCACACCAGGTGCGTTGTTTGCGTGGCCGTGTGTGTGTGTGTGTCATTTCTTGCAACTGGCTTTTTGCGTTTGCACCATGTGTTTCTTCCAATGGCCCCCAATCCCCACGGCTGCCCATGACCAGGTCGGGCCCGGGTGCAGTGCAGAGGATTGAATACAGGCGCGGCAAATGGCTGTGGGTCAAATCAAACCACCAGGGGACCGCAGATTTGAGTCCTTGGTTCCATTTACCAGGCTTCTATTTTGGGTACCCATGTTTGACCCACAGCCAAATGGCTCAAAGCTAGTGACAGGGGCATGGAATTTATTATGTTTCGACTGTCATGAACCCTCATGCCCCTCAGACCAGAGCATGTCCCAGGCATCGTGGGTCTTCCCAACGTGGGCAAAAGCACCCTGTTCAATGCGCTGTGTGACACGGGCGAGGCCAGTCTGCGAGTAGCCAGCATGTTAACATATTGCCATGCGAGCACAGGGCAGCTCTTTGCCCCTCTGCAAAATATTGATTCGGACAAACACAGCGACGTTGCTGAAAATTACAAATCCGGGCCACACATTTGCAATCAAATCATTCGTTGCGCTCCTTTGTGCAGCCATTTGGCTTCACAGATTTGCTCAATGTGCGCATACACCACCCACATGCACCCTCAATGATTGTTTGCCAACAATTGCCACCCTAAAGCGACGGTTATGGAGACAACAAGTCGATGGCAAAGGTTCACGGGAAACTGGATGACCATCTTCCAACGAAAGGAAGCGTTGCACTCAACGTGGGCGGGCGCGGCCCATGCCCAAGCTCGAACCTCGTGAGCCAACGTGATGCTAGGCAGGAATCTGAAGGTTGCCAACAGAATGTGTCACAAGTGGGCAACTGACAACTGACGACCCAACACGTCGCAAATATGTTGACGCCTATTTGTGTGCAGATTTTTCGCCCTTGGCAGGATATGGCTGGATTTTATTTCCTTTTTGTTATTTATTCTTTCTCATGCTGATTCGCCCTGGCAGGGTCTCCAAAAGGCCAAGACTTTGATGACCGTTTGCTTCACATCCTGGAGATTGGCCGCGACTGCGCCGTAGACAAAACTCCAGCTGACCTTTGCTGATTTCAGGCGCAAGGTTTTTTGCATGTTTGTCGGCCCATTTGCTAGGCGTGGACATCGAATTGGTGCGATGGGCAGTGCGTGCATCACCGGACACTGACTTGCATTCGCTGCTGCAATCCCGCAAAGATCTTTGTGGGGGTAGCCTCTTGCCTGAACCGACATGAAGACCAAAACAACTTCAAGCCTTGCACTTCTTGGAAGCTGCACATCGCAACAAGGGACATCGCGGGTGTGCGCAATGTCAGGCAATCAGAAAACTGGCTTGGTGCGTCCTCTGGGAAACCCAGCGGTTGGGCCGCATTCTCCACGGAGCGCGTATCCAGAATTGATGGCATTGAACGGTCTGATCTCTGTAGCTTGGCTGTGTAACGTCTACTCCAACAAGTGAGCGTGTGAATTCCTTTGCAACCAAATGACTTTGAGCTGCAAATTGAGGCTATGCTGGACATTTATGTTCACAATGGGAACAAACATGTTTCTTATTGGCAGCTGCATGACCAGATAGATTGGGACGGAGGCTTGCATGCAATCGTGTTTTGATGCTATCACGTTCAATGACAGGACAGTTTCCTCGGATTTGTTGTAAGGTGACAAGTTCGTCTGCTTGAAAGACCATTTCACTTTGCCACGGCTGCTAGCTTCTTTTCTGCACGCTTAGCTTGGATATTCAAGCTTGAACGTCAGTGTGATCTTTCCAGTACAACATGTGTGCGAGTCAAGATGTGACACAACATATGCAAGACAAGCACAAGGATAAATCACCGCCCCCACGGTGCAAGGCTTGCTTCTCCCTGTTTGACCACAACTTTGCAGGGCAAACATGCGCCTTGAGCAAGCGCAACTATGCCGTGTGGGGTGCTGAGCGTGCCTTGGATTCTTCTGTTTGTTTTGTCAAACAGGAGAGATATTGCATGCATTCTTGCTGCATTCTTGCTCAATGTGCATGTTCACACGCAGAGGAGTGATGAAAAACAAATTGCATATTTGGCAGAATGGACTCTATCCAGAACCGCTGGCGCAGATGGAATTTGAGGACATGCGCACTGTTCGTTCATGTTGAGAGCTGGCTGCTGATGTCTTTAGGAACCTTCTGCCAAAGGGCCTCCAAAAGAAGGACAGCCAAGCTTTAGAGCTGTCAATTGATGTTCATGCCAATGTGGCCGTTGACAGCAGTTTTCTCCGGTTCCAACGCCAATCACCAGGAACATTCCTCAGCTTGGTGGAGGTGATGCGGCAACTGCGCTGGACGGCCGACTTTGCGCCGCACGTGGGCGACATGCTGGAGTGGGCTGCCCGGTCCGATACATGTGTATGCAGCTGCATGTGTAACATGTATCCAGAGGAGCTCCCTACTGGAAGGACTTGGACGGAGCCGCTGAACACGTGCGTCTAAGGTGTGGCAAACCCCGGGCTTGGAGCTGGGGATTCGGGCCTGCGCAGCCGAAAGCGCATCAAAAGACGCTCGCTGGGAGGACAAGGATCGGAGCGAGAAAGGCCAGGTTGACAAGCTTGGGGCCAATCGCGAGTGTGCTTTTGCCACCTTTTGTCCTCGTAGTGAAGGATTCCTTTTTGAGGGGGTCGCCAATTTTCTCCAAAAAGGCCCACCCCTGTGACTGTGGCCCCCAATTGCCGATCGAACAGTTGGAGCCCTGGGGTCTGTTCTTGGTTGACGTTGGAAGGGGAGCAAACAAAATAATTTTAGCAGTTCAGTGGGGATTTCCCACTAAACCACCATAAGCAAAAAATGTTTAACGTTTCCCAACAACAACCATGTATTGCCGGAAACGAAAAGCCCATTGAAGGCGGCCCCATTGACACCTTCCGTCTCAAAGTTGCGCCTTACCAAGAACCCGAAGAATCAGAGAAAAAGAATCACAGAAGGGCCTTGAGGTTTCTTGGCTGGTGGCCAGGGGCCTTGCATGCCCTCGCAGAGCGTTTGGTGACACGGCCCAACTGCTCCGAGCACATAGCAGCCTTGCGCGGCAGTGTCCATTGGCAGCTCGTTTGCACCGATGCTGAGCGAAATTGACGAACATGTATTTTTCCAGTTTGACATGTATCAACTCAATAAATCGTTTTAGAATGCACTGCACCCTGGGTGTGTTGTGGCGAAATCAAGACGAGTCCAAAGCAGAGGCTTGAACACAACACCGCCTTGCCGATGTGCCAAATCCTTCTTTTTTTAAACATTGCGAGGCGGGACTTTGGATTGGGGCCGTTGGAGAAGTTTGTCAGGAAGTACACAGCTTGGTTTGAGTTGCGAGGGGATCACATCACGCTGTGTTGCTCGGCGAAAGCAGATCAGGGCGTCCGATGTAACGTTGTGCTGCATCTAGAATAATGCATTAGTCGAGCAGGACACCTGACAGTTTGCGAGTTGCTTGAAGCATGCGTCACCAATTTACAGGTTTTGGGTGTCAACTCCGATCCTGAGGCCGAAGAAAAGCGGCCACAAACCAACCCGTGCGCGACGATGTCGAGGCTGCCAAGGCAACTGAGGCCCAAGATAGTGAGGTGGAAGAGAATGACGATTCCGATTCGGGCAACGAAACCAACTCGGAGCCGAAGGATGCACCTCGGCTTTGAATGCTCAAATTGTGTTGCGACGGTGCACGGGAAGCGATGACGCATGAGGTACACAAATTGCCCGTCAACCGCTTGCCTCGGCCCTTCGCTATGGTCGAAGGCTGCGCGAGGCCGAAGCAGTGAGGTGGCAGAGTGAGGGGTGACCAGGACTTCCGTATCATGAGATATGCCAACAACAAGCCCGCAACGCACCAACTGATGGTGGCATGGCAAGAAGTCCGTGCATTGTTGAGTGTAATAAAGAATCAGCTTGTTGCATTTCAGAGTGCAATGCACCATTCTGACAATGCCATGCATGAAGCAAATCAGATGCGGTTACAGAGAGATCCACTTCGGATTTCGACATGCGTTGTGTTTTTTTCCTTTCGAGAACGCCAAGGTCTGCCTGCAGATGTGGCATTGCCGACGCTGAACAATGATTTGTCGCTGTTCCAAAAGCTGGGAGAAGACTTGCAAAATTATGTGCAAAGGTGCGGTTTGAGACCGCAGGACTGGACATTGGCAATACGCCACTTCGGTTGGATTTGGAAAAATTGGGGTCATCTCACCAGGACACAGAGCATCGATGCTGGGTTCGGTCACAAATTCAGCAGCTTGGATCTTGAGATTCCAACGCCTGATTCGATGATTGTAATCCCGGATACATAACTAGTAAACCCTCCTGGCTTAGTAGGGGGTCCCCACTAACATCACTTTTAGAGGGGAACACCCCCTACAAATAGGATGGGCTTAATCCGGGGTCAGCAGTGTCATGCGTCACAATCCCTGCGTTGAGGCAGGCGCTGAAGGATAGCGCGTTTCGCCAGAAATTTCCGCAACTCGGCAGGGAAGCTTGGCATTTTGGTGGAGCGAGGTGACATGCTCCAAATTGGAATGTAATGCGGATTTCTCTTCAAATTGAAATCTGGTCAGCGTGTTTGTGCTTTCCCGGCTGACCATAGTCAATATCAAGGAATTTTGCGATCACGATGTTTGGAACGTCCGCAAGTGGGCTTGCTCGTAGAGATTCTGACCTGGATTTGCTTCTGGATGTGGATGGCGAAGGACTGGCACTGGGAATCCTCTCGAAACTGTTCGGATGAATGAGCCGAGACCCTGGAGGAAACTGCTTGTTGCAACGTGGTGATGTGGGCTTTGTGCTGCAGCTCGCGCAAGAAGTGCTGGCGAGAGCAGGTGCTGAAGAGTTGCAAAGCATCCCGCTTGCCAGGACGATGCACCAACGGTGGCGAAACTAGGAAAGTTCCGGACTTACTGACATGGTCAACCAATAGCCCCATGAAAACATGATTCATCAAGATCCGTCAAAATTCATCAAGATTCATCAAGATTCATCAAGATTCATCAAGCAGCTGGCTGGCGATTTTTGAAAGCACGACTAGATGGCTGTTTCATTCAGGTAGGCAGCTCGCTTGCATGCGCGCGAGGATCCCTCTGCTGCGCGGGCTGATGCATGGTGCCCGTTTCGACCTCTCGCTGGGCACACGCTGTGGGCTATGGAACACAGCTTTCCTTCAGCAGTGCGTGCAGCGGGAGGCTCGCATGGTGGGCCTATGCAGCTGCGTGTCTGCCTGGAGCAAAGCGCAGGGGGTCAACGATTCGCCCAACGGCCTGCTGAGTACATACTCCTTGCTCTTGCTGGTGGTGTTGTTCCTGCAGCTGCGAGGGCAGCTCGGAGCACTTGAGACCGTTCCGGACTGATGGAGATTTTGGATGCGGGCGGCTGTGGTTGTCAAAACCAATGGGATCCCATTTTGGGGTAGGTGCACAACTCATTTTAGAACCTATTTTCTTTGGTGCATTTTGCTTGGCTGTTAGGACTTTAACTTTTTGCCAACTAATGGGTTTTCCACTAAACCACTAAAAGTTAAACTTTTAGCAGGGGAGCAGAAAGAAACCAAGTTTTAGTGGTCGGATTGGGATGTTCACTAGGGGTTTCCGGCTTTGAACTTGATCCATGGCCATATGTTTCGTTTTCTAGAGGGGTTTGGACTGGCAACCAAGGGACACCCCCAGGCCATATGGAAACTGTCTTTGCGTCACCGGAGGCTGCTCTCTGTTCCCGACGAGGTTTACGAGGCCCCGACTGAGCCGTCGGAGCTGCCGCTGGAGCCGCCTGAGCCGGGCAGTCTGGGCAGACTCGTTGCAGAGTTCTTTGCCTTTGCTGCCAGTTTCCGGCCGCTTGCTCGCAGCTCGATTCCCTCACTTTCAGGGAAAGAGCGTCTCTGTTCCCAGCTTGAGGGTACCTTGCAATCCTTTGATTTGATCAGGTTCCGAGCTATCCAAGATACATCACCAATATTCTTGAAACCTGAAAGGTGCGTTTCTCCACAAATGAGCGCCCAAAATACCCTGTGGGCCAGTCCTTGTGTAGACACTACCCTGGAAACCACAAGTCAGTGGGTTCCATCGTGTAGGTGGGACAGCTGGGTGGCCTCTGTACGCCTGGGCGCCGTGTTGCCGCGCTCTGCCAAGAGCCGTGCCTGGCGAGTGGCGCCGCTCTGTGTGGAGGATCCCTTCGAGACGCACCTCAACACATGCAGGCGGCTTATGACTCGGAGACGGCTTTCTTTCTTTTGAACGGGACCCAGCAGATTGCTGTGGTTCCATGTTTGACAGGAGGGTATATTCAGTTGCGTTAAGTGATATTCCATTTTGGTCAGTTGTGTTTAGTTATGCTCAACTATATTTAGTTATATTCGTGATCAAGAAAAAGTTATATTCAATTCGCGGGTCAGGTGTGTGTTGCTTTGTGTTGCTTTGCCTTGCGACTGTTTGGCTGTTTTCTGGCGTGGGATCAGAACATGCAGGTTGGGACTAAGATGGACGTGGGGGGGGGGCAGGGCGGTCAATCATTGAATCACAATCACCGCCTCTTCAGGGCAGCAACAAAGTGGTGCTTCATCTGAGGCGAGTGAATCCTAGAGCTCGGCGCTATATTTTGGGAGCCTTCCAAGCTGCGCTGAGGACATCCAAAGATTCCCATGTCACTCGCCGGGACTCGAGACTGCCAGGAAGATCCTTCAAGGTGAAGGTTTACAGGGACTTCTCGGCCGGGCTGCAGTCGACACTCGCCACAATTGAGGTTTCTTTCGGCAGCTTGGGTGTTCTTTTCGTTTGGGGGACCTCCAACCAACAAGGTGGTTGTCCTTTTGGCTTTCCCGTAAAACCGCGATAAAAAGGGGGAGCTTTAATCAAAGACGCACCCAGAGATCGCGATTGATGCCTCCAGCTTGTTTTAAGGAGGTCTCACCCTGCAACATCTACGCAGCTGACGAGCTCAAAGCTGCCTTGGCACAACGAATTGCTTTCTCGAGCAAAAAGCGCCTGTCATTGAGTGAGGTTTCCTGCGCGTAGATCCCTGCAGTGGATGCGCATGTCCATGACATATGACCATGAATCAAAATCCAGTACCCCCAGTGAACATCCCAATCCCTACTAAAATAGACTAAAATGGGTGGTGCACCCACCCCAAAATGGGACCTTTGGTTTTGACCCACAGCCATATTGTTGCTTGGCAGGCCTCAAGCATGGCAAGCGGGAGCAAATTCAATCGCCCAGCGCAAACCTCGACAGGCGGAGGCCGGCAACTTTCCTTTCTGCACCATCGACCCCAACATGGGCAAAGCTAAGGCAGGATTTGTGGGCGCTCTGGCTTGAGCATGTGTGTTGCTCGGATGCAGAAAACGAAGTCTAGCGAAGAGACAGCTCTTGAGTTCGCGCTGCGCTTGTTTCTTCGGGCTCAAGCCTCTGGGCCGTCTCTAGCAGTGTGCCCCAGCCAGCCCGCTCGCCGAGTGAAAAGCCAAGAGCTGAGGATTCAGAAGATTGGCTGAGGATCTGGTCAGCTCCACCTGAACACTGAACCGCAGCGCCCACATTCAGCATGGGCTGCGCAGCAGCCTCAGACTTTCAGACACGGTCAGCGTCACAAGCTGGCTGAGCACTGGCAGATGCATGCGGCAAGTTGCCAGTTCCTGGTGAAGTGAGATGCACTGGCCGCCCTGCGGAGTTGCAATCAGGTGGCCAGCACTGCAGACATCAGCGAGCATGGAACTTATTCGGCACCATTTACATCTCGTTCTCCGTTGATCGCTTGTCGAGTCGAACGTGTGCAATGAGGCCAGAGAGCTCTCCAAACAAGGTACATGCCGCCAATGGCAGGACTGAAGGGTTTGGGTCAGCTGCGGATTCGCCTTGCCATAGCGTTTCTGCAAGGACGCTGCTCAACAACCCTGTCGGGCCTCAAAAACTCGAGGCCATGGTTTTTCTCAGCCCACGGTCTTGCTAGCCGCAAATCCAGGCCAACGCGACTCCACTGCCGCAAATCAGGCAGGAAGTTTCGCGAAGTTGGGAGAGTGCGCCAGCTTCTGTTGACTGTAACATGAACAACATGAATTCCCTTTCCTCCTCAATGCCTTGCAGAGGTTAGTTGCTGGTGGACCTTTGCTTGGACGAATCGGTGCATATCCGCAGGCACTCGAAGACCGGCCCAAACCAGGCGGAGGGTGGGGCACAGATGCCGGCTTCACATGTCGACAGGCGTATGGCAGACGCATTTGCCATGAGGACGTCATCTCCCCGACTTCGCCCACTTCGCCCAGCAAGTCCATCCTAAGAAGCAAGAGCTTGCAGGTCCTCTCGGTCAAGGCGGAAAACACTTGTCACATCTTTGCGCTGGTGCACACAGCTGGCTCTGAAGTTTATCCGTTTATCCGGAGAACTCCCTGAAAAGTGTTTGGTGGACATAAATCCCCACCTACGCGATGTCCACCATCCCGGGTCCCAAAATTCAAATTCATAGCCAGCTGTTTTCCGAGGAGACTGGCCGAAGAGCCACCTTTGATGGCAGCTTGAAGGAGGAGGACAGAAGAAACTTTGAATTATAGAGAGGCTTTGCAGAAATGAGGAGAGTTCTGCAACCCAGAATGTTTACTCCTGCACGTGAAACGCCACGCTTTTGCAGGAGCCATCTGCATAAACTTGTGAGAGCAGTGAGTTTTCGTCCTCTCGCTCCCGGGCCGTAGCTAGTCTTCGTAAGGGGTTCCGAAACTGCCGTTCGGGCACCTTCCAAGCCTCACTTTTTGCTCCTTTTTTGGTCCTTTTTGGCACGCCGTGCCACTGCGCTTGCGCGTCAACGGAATTGCCTGACGCAGGGGTCATCTAACGTTTTTCCCCCCTTTTGCTTCAAACTTGGAAGGGTGCCAGCATCGCCTCTGCAGGATGACAGAGCTACCGATATGCTGCACTTGCGCAGCCCCGGCCCTAGCATCGAATCCGGCACCTTGCTCAGACTTAGCTCTCTCACGCCGGCATTTGGGTCTGTTTCGAGCGGGACCGGGGAGCTGCTTTTCGGCATGTCTTTGAGGGGAAGCCAAAAAACGAAATCACCGATTTGTCCGGATCCTTGTTTTGAGACAGGCCTGTTGAGCCCAAACCGAGTTCCCATCCGGCCACGTGGCCAAGCGGAAGCTCCCAGCTCCCCCCGTGGCTGGATCTGAGGTGGAAAGCGGCGAACCACCTTCGGCCAGGCCGAGATCAGAGAGTACCGAGTGCAGGCGCCGGCGAGATTTGAGATTCAGATGTCCAATGGGCCGTTTCTTGTTTTTGTTTTTTTGTTTTCAGATTGCTGAAAGCTATAGGAGTTCTAAATTCTAACCAAGAGGGGGAAGTGATTTGCAAGATTGCTGGTGCTGCGGGACGTGCAGTTTGGGGTGCTGGTGAAGGTGCTGCTTGGGGCGCTGTTTGAGGTGCTGTTGAGATTGACGGCTGGGTGCTAGGTGACAGTGCGGGGCATGCAGTTTGGGTGCTGCTGCAGGTGGTGTTTTGGGATGCTGTTTGGGCGTGCTGTTTGGGGTGCTGTTTGATGTGCTGGTGACGGTGCAGCGTTTTGGCGAGATGGATGCTGGGGTGCTATTTGGGGGTGCCGGAGCGGGTGCATTTTTGCGAGACTGACGGCAGGGCGGAAAGGTGCTAGTGACGGCGCGGCCAAGTGCTGTTTCGGAGGGTGGTGTTGGAGGTGGACCGCAACCGTCGGCATGCTTTTCGCTTTCTGGGGTCTCTGCATTTTTTTAAAGGAAGTGACTTATGAATCTCCACCATGAACGAAGCTCCAATGGGTCCCGAGCTGAATGGAGTTTTTTGTTTTTTTGGCAATGAGTGGCAATCAAACAGCCAGAGCTGCCAAATGCCAGATGACCCAGTCGCGAAGCTTCTGAGGGCTTTGCCCGCCTCTGCACTCCCACATTGTTTGTTGGGGCTCGCTTGGTCAGGGATTTTGGAATCACAACAGAGACGGGCAAGCATCAGTGTGGCACCAACAAGATTCCCTCGACATGGCGTCCCCTTTTTCAAACACCTAGACTGAGCACAACGTGAGCGTTTGATACGTGAACACCGCACCAGTCGGGTTCAACAAATAGCAGCATTGTGCCATGCCCTTGAGGATTTTTGTTTGGCTCGAGCAAACTATTCGCAGACGTGCAGATGATGCTGCTTGGAAGGTTCCGTGCCATGTTCGCCCCTGAAAGGCACACCCTTAGCATTGGGCAGCGAGCAATGCGCAACTTGAGGAGTTGCCACTCCATTAGGAGCTTCATATATCACGCAGCTTGACAACATTTCCGTTGCTGCTGACTTCATGGAAGCTCCGACTCGACATGCACGCAGGCTACCAGTTTGGGCCTAATTTCATGACATGCGCCGGCGCACCAGTCTCCAAGAGATTCAGTTGCTGCGAGCACGTTGCCAGAGAGCACTGCACGCATTCCTGGGTGCCCATCCCCAAGAACCCCTAGAATTCAGCCCTTCCAGTTGTGCCTCAAGGTTAGTCAGACTTTCCAGAGGATAGGCCCTGGGAACGGGCGAAAGAAGGGCGAATGCACCTTCTTGAGTGCACCCTGCACCAGCCATGTCTCACGTGCCGCGCTGGATGTGGGAAGCTGAAAGTGTTGGGAAAAGGCTCACAGTGCCGACGCGCGTCCGCAGGACTTCGCGCAAATTCGTTGAAGCAGCGGACATCAGCTCGGCCTTCGATTCGGCCGTCAGGTTCCAGACGAGCGGCTGGAGAAGCTCGCAAGCCTGGCAAAGTCGGAAAAAACCATCCACGAGGCCATTGGAGCTTCAGCATAGGGTTGGCAAACCTTCTTACACGATACTTCTGGAACAAACCTTCCGGTCAGTGTTCTTGCCCCAGGGTTTCATTTTTTGATCATGAGCTCCAATCTCTCGAACCTTCAAATACGACGACTCAGATGATCGAGTACGTAGATATTGCCGGTCTTGTGAGGCGGGAATGTGCACTTTGGATCAGTCCTTTCATGTCAGAGCTGTGCAGCATGCAAAAGTGGCGTGCACGAACCGTGTTGCTGAGCTGCTTGCAGTCGCACTCGGCCAGGGGTGCTTCAAAGGGTGAGGGTCTTGGCAACCAGTTCCTGGCCAACATCCGAAATGTAGGCCAGAAGCAATTGCCTTCTAAAGGTGGCTTTTTGCGAGTGAGAAGCTTCCTTGAGGTATCGATGGGAGAATTAGACGCATTTCAACCTTGCTGATGTGGATAATTGAACTCATTTCCAAAGGGAGGTGCTCTGTGCCACGTGAAGCTGCTGTGCAGATGCCATCGTGCATGTCATCCGATGCTTCGACGACGAGAACGCGGGAGCCTTAACCAAGGGCACAGAAAGGGGCGTTGGTCAGCCTTCATTCTGCATGTTGCAAACAATTCAACAAGCTGTTGGTAGCTTGATCAGGCCTGGCTTTCATGTAGGCGTCGGTGGCAAAACATCATCTTCACGTTTTGGCTTGGCAAATGGGCGCCATCCGTCCTTTTTGCCTCAGGTCACGCATGTGGATGACACCGTGGATCCGGTTCGGGCGGCTCGGCCTTTGCTTTGCCGTGCTCCATCCCTGCTACTGAGGGCAGCGTTTTGCATTGGGTGAGCTCTTGTGCTACGAAAGGTGCCCCGATTTGTTTGCTTGACTCGGCTCTTTGCCCATGAAACCCAGCCAGCAAACTGGACAAACGAGAGAGGCAGTATGCTCATGCCGTGTCTGAGGATATTGAAACTATCAATTTGGAGTTGATCTTCGCTGATGCGGAGCAAGCAGCTTGTCAAAAGTGAGCGAGTGTTCATACCCTGCGACACCACTTTGCGATGCACGTCAAGTATGTTGTTCTCAGCACCCGGCATATTTCCTGCACGTGTTTGCAATTGCTGTCAAGACTTGTTGAACCATGTCTCAATGTATGGCGTCTAAGTGCGAAAAGCGGTTGAAGAAAGTGGATCGAGAGATAGTTGGCCAGGCGGGTTGCTTAGCATGTTTTTTGCCAGCAACTGTGCAGGGCCAGGCTGTAGCTTCCCTTATCTCCCCCTTTAGCCAGGTGAAGGGAGCAAAAGAGGAGAAGCAGGCTGCGACGTGTTGGATTCACTGCATGCAATGTGTCTTTTGCCCACTGCTTGTCTCAGCTGACCACCCCAGTTGGTTTGGATTGGTGGTCTGGTTGGTTTAGATTGGTTCCCGTTTACGCTCAAGGTACAAATTCCCAGAACCAATCCAGCCCCCATCCACCCATCCTCCCATCCATCCCATCCACCCAGCCCTAACCCCCCCAACCTGCATACCTCGAGCGAGGCTTTGCAGAAGGTGCTGGAGGTCCTGGAGGCCAAGTCTTCGGACCCGCGGAAACCGCGAGCGCCTGGGATCCGCTCCCGCTTCCGCGAGCGAGGGTGCGTGCCAGGCGGGCCAGCCGGCGCGAGCGGCCAAGATGTCGGAAGCCGAACTGGACGCCATCAAGGCTCGGCGAAGGGCTTCTTCGACTGCGTGTTCCGTGGCGATGGAGCTTTTTTGTTCGCCTACTTACTTTTTTTTTTTCTTAGAGGTGTTGTGCCTTTGTTGATCGCATTTTGCATGAAGTCAAAACTGTGCAGGACCTCTCCCTGCTGTCCTTGAAGCCGGTACTTTACGCCGCCAACGTGGCGGAGGAGTCTCCACTTCCCTGGCGTAAGTCACTTTGTCATCTCTCGGTGAGGAAGATTTGGCTGAGGGCAACGACTATGTCAAGGCGAGGATGCAGCTGTTTGTGGGGCAAAAATAGGTACCCGTTTTGGGAACCCTGGTAAATGGAACCAAAGACTAAAACCTGCGGTTTCCTGTTGGTTTAATTTTGACCCGTGCCCAGCTGTTTGTGGCTCCTGTTCTAAAACTAAATGCCGCTTGCAGGCAGTGCAGGACTTTGCCAAAGAGGCAAACGACCAGGTGGTGCTGGTCTCTGCTCAGGTGGAGGCATGCTTGCCTGAAGAAGACATGCACTTTGATAAGGGCACAGCCACTCACCCCTTGGAGAGACACTGTCTATATAAAATGCATTTTTACACAGAGATTCAATAAAACTTGGATGCAACTCAATTTTTGATGCAAGGCCTGTGTATACGAAATGATTTCCTTCAGTACACATCTCGTCCACAGCATAGTTTATACTTGACTTTTCCTTTTCTTTTTAACATTCTATTTGAATCCTTGACAGCTTCCGGGCAAGTGTTTGGAGTCTTTGGTTGCATTGCAATTCTTTGCAAGCCTTGTTCTGTCAAACAGGAACATCAGGCACGCCGCGACACAGTTTGGACCAAAGCCGCACACAAGCGAAAACCTGTTTACCAGAAGAGGGTAGCAAATACACATATATACATATAGTATATGCATCTAATATCTATCATTTTGTCAGGGTGGTGGTTGTAGAACATTGCTGCCGAATGCTGCCTTGTTCGCCGGAGGCAGAGCTGAAAGGTTTGGATGAGGATGAGCGTGCAGACTACTTGGAGAGCTTAGGGGTGAAGGATAGATTTTGCGAGACATCTTTGTCATGGATCGCAAAAGGCTCCGCCAAACATGTGGCGTATGAAGAATCGGAGGAGAGTGGCTGTGGAAATTTGGTGCAGGCCACATACAGGCGGGGATGTGTGGTTTGCGTGCGCTGCACCTCTGTGCTGCGTGAGCTCAGGACGCTTGGATTGCGGACGTACTTTACTTGTGGGCCAAAGGACGGGCGCATGTTGAGACTCGGAAATTGAGCTCCGGCAGCTGAGGAGTCCCGAGCATGGACGATTCAAGAGGGCTGGAAGGCACCTCAGGCCGGTGAAAGTTTTTCGTTTCGCATGTTTTGCCGTGCTCTAAGTGGGTTTGCATTTTTCCAGCATGCTATGTATCCAAGCAGCCGCTCCAAAAACCTGTCAGTGAGCCATAGTGTTTTTCTTTTCTTTGTTTTTCAATCTATGAGTATGGGGCAAAATTAAACCACCAGGGGACCGCAGGGTTTCTACTTACCAGGCATTTTGGGTACTAATTTTTGACCCACAGCCACAAATATCACAACAATCCAAGAGGTGCAATGATGCCTGGTAGGCAGCTGGTGTGATCCACAGCGATTTTGAGAAGGGCTTCATCAAGGCGGGACTAGTGGGGGCAACTCTCAATACTGCACATGGGGCTTCATCCTTTTCGCCTGTGCCAGGTTTGTTAGCCAGATGTTGCCACCATTCTTTCCTCAGTCGTTTCCCACCTTCTCCTTGCATGTGCTGTAGCCGCTGTATGTTTCCTGCTTCGACATAGGCCGCCACGGTCAGCTACGAGGACTTCGTGGGTTGCGGTTCTGAAGAGGCGGGCGTATGAGAAGCCGTAGGCAAATTATACTTAGCTGTGGGTCAACACCAATGGGATCCCACTTTGGGGTAGGTGCACCACCAATTTTACTCTATTTTGGTGGGGATTGGGATGTTCACTGGGGGTACGGGGTTTTGACCCGTAGCCACTTTGCTATATTCGGCTTCTAAGGGCCGAAACATGCACTTTCTGCCGAGTCACAGTAGGATCATCAGGCCAGGTCTAGTCTATCGGCTTTGGTTTCCGGCGAAAGTCAAGAACGATCGGCGGGAATCAGCGTAGTTCAATCGTTCCATCGTTGTTCATGCGAAACAAGTAAGCAGCTCGCGTCGCAAAGTCCTTCCCGTGGCTGACCATCAGTTGATTCGATCCTTGACTAGTTGAAAGACAGGACTTTGCTGCCTTAAGCCTGGGCAGCAAGGAAGCCTTGTCCTCCTGGGAAGTACAGCAACCCGTGCCGTGCGGATTTGCAAGGCGGCGAAAGAGAAAGGCAAGCTCCGCATCGAAGGGAAGGACTACGTGGTGCGCCCCGAGCTGTGGGCAAACAACGCGGCATTGCGGATGTGCGAAGTTTCTTTCTGGGATTACGGGGGAAACCAGCACAATATTGATATCGGACATGCTGGAATCATGGCAAGCAAATGGACACACTTGGTTGCATGGATTGCATTTTCATGCCTGGCAATCCAGGTGAAGGAAGCTGATGTGATGCACTTCCGCTTCAATTGAGCTTGTTGGCAGCTTTGCGATCAGCTAACTGCATGCTTATGCTTTGAGGAATTTGTGCCGCAGGCAATTTTCTGAAATTTTCTCGGTTTTCAGAGTGGCCACAGCATTCCCGCTGAGCGGGATTCAGCTTGCACCTCTTCACCTGAAAATGGCGGCTCTCCCGGTCGCAGTCCGTGTCTTCGGTTTTGGGGCGCGAGCATCGCATGCGCGAGCATCGCCTGCAGCATCCCGGCTCTTGGCGCATTTCAACGCGCCTGGGGTGTGATGGGCCATGGACCAAAAACCCATTTGACCACGGGTTTTTCATGTGAGTCAGGGATCATTTTTCAACGATCGGCACAAGGCACTCACCATCTGCGAGATGCACACCTTGAGTGCCTCTAGTTGGTATCGTGGGCTAAAAACGCACCGAGGCAGCAGGAAAAACATGAAGTGCTTGGTATTGCACCCTGGCATAAGATGTTGTTCTTGGTTGATCCAATCAGCTTCTCCAAAAAGGCACGGTGGGGGGGGGGGAACTGCGCACATGCCAATTCAGCTAATCTTCCAAGCGCTGCAATGTCAGCAATGCTGTCAAAACACTTGACATCGGTTTGAGCCTCAGCATGGCCAGGGACCGCAGGTTTTAGTCTTTGGTTCCATTTACCAGGGCTCCCAAAATCGGTGCCTATTTCTGACCCACAGCCATGTGCCAGAGCTATTTTGCTCATTCCACCATGAGACTACAGATGCGCTTGAGTTTCACCCGGCGCCAGGAGTACCAAGACAAGGCAGACTGGACAGAAGGCCTCATTTTGCCCTGAAAGTTTTGCTCCAATCAAGACTGCACAGAGAGATTTCATGAAGCAAATCCGCCTCCAATGTCAGGCGAAAATGCAGTTGACGAGCCTCATCCAGGAGTGGCATGATGATTGGATGAGCCTTTTCGATTGGTGCTATAAGATTGAATCAGGACTGCCAACGCAGCCCCTACCAATGCCCAGAGGCAACTTCGGTGTAACTGATGCTTCGGAAGGGACAAGTATAGAGTTTTTCTGCAAGGCCTGAGCGCTGCTCAGCTCTGCTGCTTTTGTTTCAAGGCAGGAGAGAGAGAAGATAGCGTCGAGGATCAGTTAGTTTAGCAGGGCTGCGGCATGCGGCTGTATCAGGTGCTTCGCGCACACTTGGAGTGCACTGCGCTAAGAACACCTCACTGAAAGTTCTGCGAGTTGGGGGCAAGATTTTGCTTGTGCCATTCCAATTCTCGATTGCGGAGTGGCCCCAGTCAAATGAGTCACGTCCTGCCATCGTGCGCAATGGTGCGAACCAGGTGGTGCGGTGGTGTGACTTCTGCTTTCACCTCTGAATGAAGGGGAGTCTTCCCGTGTTGTTTCCAACGTTCTTGTGATTTTGCGTCCGGCTCTCTGCCGGCTGCCAGCATTTGTTGAATCCGGATCTGCGCGAGACTGCTTGGATGTTTAAGGCCTGCCGCTGCCCCGCTGCCCCACGCTGGATGGGTTCAAGGCCACCGCAGAAGGGAAGGGTCGGCCAGGCTCAAGATCTTGTTGTGAGCAAAGAAGTATCCAAATCCAAGCGAGTATCCAAACAAACAAGTTTGGAAACACAAACAAGTATCCAAACCCAAACAGCGCATGTTCCAGTGCGGTGCCACGTGCATGAGGCGCCTTTGTTCGTCACATGGCTGAAGCCACGAGGCGGTGTCGCGACCTTGGAATCCTCATGTCGGGCCATTAACCGGGATATGTATCAAAACACAGGCAGGAAGGGAGGGAGAGACCAGAGCTGATTGTGCTCTGCACTTGTGAGGGGGGATTGGGCTGCCCCTCCACCCCACCCCCCCACCTGTTTTACAGCTGTCCACTACCCACCCGAACAACCTATTTCTGAAAATCAACAACAGCTTATTAGGCATCAAACTTATTGGGCACGATTTTGATGCAACACGGTAACAGGCCTGGAAACAGCGGTATCAAAAACTACTTATTAGGCATCAGCCAAAGTTGTCAGGCATGGCCGGGGTTCGTTTGGGAGGGTTTACTTCCGTTGGATTTGGGGTGGGTTGTGGATTGGTTGGGTTTATGGTGGGTTTAGGGTAGGAGGGCCATGTTTTCCAGGTTTAGTTTTTTTTCTTTTTGCTTTTTTCCGTCTTTCTTTTTTGTGCGTGGGTGCTTTTTTGGGCTTTTGCAGCGTCGGTGGGTTTTGCAGCTTTTGGTGGCTTTTCTGACTTATTGGTGTCCTTGTTGTTTTCTTAAGGGGGGTGGAGGCTCCCCCGAGTGTTGGACTGTTCCGGACAGAGCGACAGCAATAGTGGCAGCGAGGGCGGCGGCGCCGCCGCCATCGCGTTCGGAAGGATGTGACGCGACATGATTGCAATGGGCTTTCGCGGGGTTCGCGGGGTTGGCGCAGGCGGCGGGGCTCGCAGGGGCACGCGGGGCTGGGGTTCACGGGGGTGGCGAGGCTTGCAGTGTTCGCGGGGTCGCAAACCGCGGGTTCGTGGGGTTCGCCGGGGTGGAGGGTTTTGTTTGGTTGTCGCAGCTGCAGCAGCAGCGTCCGCAGGTTTGTGATGTGCCCCGTGATCTTGCGCCAGACTCCGGATCCTCTCTCGACACAGGCCACATGTTGTTTGTGAGGAGTTTCCGAGTGTTGCTTTTTGTCTCGCAGCTTTCACTTGCCCTTGTCGTGCGGTCTGTGGCTTGGGCGCGGATCTTGGCGGTTTGCCCGCTGCTGACTTCAACTGCCAGTCATGGCGAATCGGCCCGGCGCTGCGCGTATGTCCCGACCGAGGAAACCACCCTTGCGGCCTTTGCTGTGCTTTGCTCGTAGCCTCTTTTGTTTGAATTCTAGGCGGCGACGGAGCTTGCGGGCTCTCGCTTTTTGAGGGGAGCTCGCCCGCCAATGAGGAGGTCCCAGGCATCAAGCTGCCTGAGTGTCATTTTTGTTGGTTCTGTCGCGCAAGCGGCGCATCTTCGTGAGCTTGGTTTGAATCTATCAAAAGCGATCGAACGCATTCCGGCGTCGCAGTCTCGTGGTAGTTTTGAACGCGTGTCGTGGCAGGCGCAGCACTTTGGTGGATGTAGAGCTCGTGGCAGGCTTTTGCGCGACAGGCGCAGCGCTTTGAATATTTTTGTTCGAATTAGGAGAGGCGCGCGCTTATTTAGAGCGTGTCGTGCATTTCGTGGCGGGCGTAGCGCCTTGGCGCTTGGGCGCAGATGAGTTTTTTGTTGCGGAGCGTGCAGGTTTTCGCAGTACTTTGGAGCTTGGCAGCGACAGGGCGTGGCTTCCGGCTCCATGCTTTGTAGGGTCGCGCGTTGATGTTCGTGACAGGCGCAGCTCTTTGGAGCGCGACTCGCAGGAGTGTTGACAGAAAAAGGCAGAGAGATAGGCAGAGGTAGATAGTTCAACTAGATAGACAGATAGTTCAGATTAGACAACGTTAGATGAGATCAGGTTAAACAGGCAGACTAGATAGTACAAACAGATAGATGGACAGATGGGATTAGATTTGCAGGAGAACAGATTAGACAAGATTTAGATAGACCGATTAGATGAGATAAGGTTCCGTCGGCTAGATAGACCGATGACGAGATAGATCCTTGGACAGGTAGACAAACTGTTTTGAGACAGAGATAGATGGGTGAGATTAGGCTCATGGACTGGCAAATGCGAGCGAGAGAGAGAGAGGTTTATAGAAAACTGGGTAGGTGGACACATAGGTAGAGAGATAGATGAACATGTAGATACTAGATTAGGTTTGAGTAGCCCATTTAGATTAGAACAGATAGAAAATAGGATTTAGGCTCTAGGTTGCTTGATAGATAGATAGCAGGCAGGTAGGTAGGTAGGTAGACACGTAGATAGGTATAGGTGGGTAAAGACGGCTAGCTTTGGCTGGACTAGATAAGGGCTAGGTCTAAACAGGGTAGATTGGAGAGGCAGGCAGGTAGGTAGTTGGATAGATGTATGGGTAGATGTGCAGGCGTAGACAAACAAAGATAGGTAGATATCTCTACTAGATTTACAAATAGATGCACGGATGAACCGGCAGATGGGTAGTTAGGGCGGCCAACAGGTGGGCAGGCAGGCGAATGGATAGGCAAGAAACACACAACGGTAGCTTTAGGTAATTATTTTGTATTCGGGTTCGCGGCTTCTATCCGCTGTTTGACGCTGATTAGTAATAAGTTTTTGCGATCCCTCATCCTCACCAATTAACATTCTTTGGCCCCCTGCTTTGGCCACCGCCTTTTGCCTGCAAAGTGTTTCTTGTCTCCCCTCTGCCACATGTTGCAGGGTTGGCCTGCAATAGCGGCAATAATGTTGTTCGTTTTGCGTGCCAAACAAGAGACTTCCCGAAATGGTTTGCTTTTAACTCTTGTTCCTGTGAACACCATCGGGAGGTGTTGCAGGCTGCCCTTGCTCAGGTTGTCAGCAACTCTGAGCTTGAGTTGCGCGGCTGCATTGGGTGCTTGGAGGCGACCGGCGCAGTGAGGGTTCCGCCTTCGGGGTGCAAACCCAAGCTTGTTTCCCAAGAAAAATGTATTAAACCAATAGCAATGCGAAGCAACCAAAGGGTCACATAATCAACAGAGAACATGTCGAAATGCATCCGGATGCTGAATTCCACCGCAAGCCCAAACTGCAACAAACAGTTAAGGCGAATCAAGAAACAGCAAGAGCGCCTTACACAAAAAAACGCAGGTGTTTGCAATCCCTACATTCGGAGCCATCTAGTGTGCCTGGCGCCTGCAGCGTGTTTTGAGTCATTGAGAGAAGGTGTTGCTAGTGCTGACAACTGCCAGCCTATCCACTTTGACAACGGCCTCTCCGAGTACGCTATCCGGAGCTCTACGAAGGACCATGCCAATGGGAAAATTGCGCAGCCGGTTGCTTTTGATATGTTGGAGGACAGGCGGTTTCCTCCCGTGAAGTTGGACGAGGCCAGTTTGCTGATGTTTCAGCGAACGCATATTGTTGCCTGTCGTCCGAAGCAAGTTTTTGGCACAGAGTTTCGACGCATCATGTTCACTATCGTGCTGAGCGTCTCGGCATAAATCATTGGCGGAAGGTGCCTTCCCTGACCTGCCGGATTTCCATCCTACACAACTTTGAGCCTTGTGCACATGCCTTCGACTGGCAAGTCGGCGTGCTCGCGGCTGAGAATGCGACCATTTCCCCCACGTTCGCCCCGAAAGGAAAAACCCCTGAAAAGAGTCCACCGCACATGGAATGGGGCGTGTGTCAGACTGAACCGACCGACCGCTAAGTCAGAGCAGGTCCAAAAGGATTGCTTTCGCGAGGCATGGTGTGCTGCTCAACTTCTCTGCGCAGGGCAGGCCCGGGCAAGAGGAACGGTGGCACCGGCTTCTGGGGACAAGTTTCTTCAGTAGTTTGCCCTAAGCAAGCGGCGGCCTCCAGTTTTGCAGCAAGGCTTGAGAATTCGGCAGCACGCTGCATGTCCATTCCATCCTCTCCATCTCTTCGCCGGGATCTCTGCCAGGCGCTTCTCTGCCACCTACCTGCCGGAAGTCGCCAAGCAACACGGCGCTCTGCTTACGGCAGCACTTGAGTGGTTCTCGCATATTGGCTTCTGGTATCATGCTTGACGTCATCACACAGGAGTTATGCAGAGAAACGTTTTGAGAGAGGCGCAGCATGATGAGCCCCGAGGAACTCAAACTCGAACTCGATCGCTCCGCCTTGGATTCGGGAGTAGGATTCGATCTGCAGTTCGCAATTCGTGATTCGGAATTCCAGATGAATCCGGGGTCAGGGATCTGCGGTCAGAGATTGGGAACTCTGGATTTGCGAAACATATCTCCGGGAGCTTTTCCGGATCATGTCACCATTCGGAGCAGTTTCATTGCAGCCATGGGCCAGGGCACGAGTGATTTTGGGCAAGCGCAGCTAAGGAATGACTCGAGAAGTTGCCATCCGTGAGCTGGTGGCCAAGTCGGGCTATGCAGGGCCTTGCAACCAGGACTTGCATCCTTGCGTGCAGCTGACTTGCTATTGGCGGGCTTGCTTCATTTGACTGCTTTTGCCAGGAAATTCTAGACTGCTTGGAGGTCACTCGCTATCAAACAATTGTCATCAGCTCAGGAATTGAGTCTCTGTGTGTGCATGTCACTTTTGGCAGCAAAGATTGACCTTCGGCCCAAGGTTCCTTTTTGGTTGTTTGTGGGTGTTTGTTGGACATGACAGCAAGAGAGTTTGCTTAGGGTTTAGGATGGCAGTATTGAAGGTGGAGAGCGTGTCCTATCAAGACGTTGCAAGATCGGGCCTCAAGCATGCATGTCGCCACTGAGTTTTCCACGCTCTTTTTTTTCATGGCACTTGCTGCAATTGGTTTCAGGCTCTGCCTCATTTCCGGAACCATCAGATCAGTGAGTTGAGTTGACTGTTGCCATGCTAAGGCCATGGATAGCCATGGTCTCAATTCATGAGGCCGCGAAACTATGTCGGCACTTTCACACATGTCAAGGCATGAATTCACATGGGGGTTTTGTCTCTTTTTTGTTAATAAATGTGATTAGCCATGATTCATTTCATCAACAGCGATGTCGCGGTAGTGACTGACCTGTGATGTTTGGCTCAAGTTTGCGGGTCCGTCGCGCCTCGGATGAGCGTCGCCGGGTCCCCGCGTCGATCACCTTCGTGTCGGTGGAGAAAGAGACATCGGCCCGGGGCAGATTGGTGGGGTCCGCCCGTGCGGTTCATCGTCGATCAAGGTTGCGGGTACTTGTTTACTTGTTTTGGTTTTTCCCTTTTGGTTGTTGTTCTCTGGTGTGTGGGAAACCCTGATCTTTGGGACCGGGGATTGGTTTGCTTTTGGGGAACCTTTCTTTTGTGGCTTGTTTACCCCAACTTACCCATTGCCTGGGCACAGGCTCGTGCCCGAATCACAGGTTATCAGCCGTAGGACTTTCCTACGCGCTTGAGACCATCAACTACAAGCTCTATGTCGACCCCACGATCTCGAAGGAGTGTCGTGGATGAGGAGGCCATCCTAGGGGGCCTCCGCTCAGGTGAGGACCTACCGGACTATGACTACGAGGATTTCGAAGCAGGTTCGACAGGTCAGGATCGCAGGGGTGAAGATCCCGGTAGGGACACACCCAGAAGCCGTGGCAGGTACACCGACGATGGAGACGATCGCATTTTCCGTCAGGCCACCGATGATGAGCAGACACGAAGGGTTCGCTCCGATAGGAGCGGCCCTAAATCAGGTCACAGGCGCGGACAGTTCGACTTCATCAGCATGGCGATGAACATGGCCCGCCCTCATTCGGACGACCCGGAGGCTATGCCGACCCGACCCCCGAGATCTCTTGTTCCAGGTGAGTCTCAGGTTTCGGATGAGTTTGAGGACAGACCGCAAGGACCAGGGACTATGGTTTTGGCTCCGAGAGATATCTCGGCTCGATCCACTGGTTCTCAAAACCCAGGTCAGTTTGATGAGCATGAGGAGAAGAAATTCACAGGCTTCGGATACGATGATCTGTTGAAATCAACCGCAGGCTGGGGCAGTAGCGCAAAGCAGGAGTCTGATGCCGATAGGCCCAATCCTGTTGCTGCCGAGTTTGAGTTTGATAATGATGAGGATTATGCCGCATTTGCGGATCGTCGTGATGAAGAAGAGGATCAGTCACGCCGGTGCCGCGAGGCCCAGGAGCCTCTCTCGTGGAGCCGCCAGGGACCTTCATGTTGACAGGGACGCCCGGAGCGAGAGAGAGAGAGCCAGGGATAGCCGGGAAGTTCTTAGGGGATTGGAGGCCATCCATGACCGGGAGGGACCGATAGGTCCCCCAGTGATTGGTGACACCCCGAACGTTCCCCCTTTTCCCAACATTACATTTGGAGGTCCGCTGCATCAGAGAGACGAGAACTCGAACCGGGTTACTGGTTCGCCGAGGATCACTGAACGGGCTGCCGATGTCGTTGGGACAGGTGCAAGAGATGGTCGGCTTGCCGATGCACTCGGAATCGAAGATCGTCCGTCGATCGCTAGCCCGTTAGGGCGAGATACCAGTGACCTTGAAACGCTAAGGTCTAGCAACGAGTTTACACCTCGATGGGGCTCGACCGCCAGGGAACGTAGTGCTTCTGCGAAGAGGCCGTCACCCCTGGCCATTGAGACCGATAGGTCAAAGGCGAGGAGGGCTAGCCCCTCACCAATGGGTTCAACTCCGCAGGATGAGGAGATGCCTGATCCTGCTGATGTTCACATTCACTCTACTCCCGAGTCTCGTGCATCCAACATTGATCCCCGATAGCCGGAGAAGGGGATCTACCCCGAGTAGACCCCAGAAGACATGCCGGGGCTAGTGGGGCTCCTGAGAGGATCGAGATATCGACTCCTCCGGCCCTCAGATCCCAGTCTTCCGGCGAGTCAGGTGACGCTAGGGCAAAGGAGGTGTTCGATTTGCACATCCAGGAGATGCTCGAGAGGGGTGAGGTTTCTGGCTCAGTCGCGAAGGCGTTCCATATTTTTGCTGACCAAATCAGGTTACTGAACGGTCAGGTGAGTTCCATGCGAAGGGAATGGAGCGACGAGAGTCGACAGACGAAGAACAAGGTCGATCGCCTGGCAGCTGAGATTGCGACTCAATCTGATGCCGGTAGGATGCGAATGATAGTTCAACGGTTTGCAAGGGAAGTTATTCCTGACAGCAAAGCTATTGTGAGGCAAGCCATCGATGAACAGGCTGAAATCGTGGATCAGAGGATCAATTTGCTTTCTCACGAGATCCATGAATCTGTAAAGGACAATGAGATCGCAACTGGTCAGATTATTCAGATGGTTAAGGAGAATCGTGAGGCCAACCGCAGGAGTCATGCTGCTTCCGAGGATGAGATCCATAAGGACTTGGATAAGCTTGAGGGACGGATGTTCTCGGTAGAGAAAACCGTTGGGATGCGGACGCCAGCAGGTGAATGGGATTTGAACCCTGCTGCGCAACCGCCCGATAGGGCTACCAGCAGTGGGGCAAGCGCGAGCTTCAGGGAGTTAAACCTGAAGCTCGAGAAGGCTCTTCTTGAACACGAGAAGTTTGCTAAGTGGGCCTCCGAATCTATTGGTGGCATTAATGAAGAACAAACCATTCTTGCTAATCGGATGTCGAGGCTGCGAAGTGGGAGGGGGTCCCAGGCGATCGATAGATCATCAGGGCCTGTGTCCCCGCAGGACTGGCATGAAGCAATTGACGAAGTCAATCGAAAGGTCCAGGATCTATCTCGCGGAGTTCAACGACACCATGGGGATCATGACGATGTCATCGCGAGGTTTGAGACCTTGAAGTCCCGCGTTGAGCAGTACGAAGCGAGCTCGGGGATTCTGAATCAAGTTCTTGATGACATCAGAAGGCAGATCCGCAGTCTCCCTGCGAACAGTGATCAAGCGCGGTCCGCCGTTAGGCGTGAACTCGATTCATTTCGGAGCACGCTTGAAGGCGCAATGCGGAGACTCACTACTACTGAGAGTAACATACGTACTCTTAATGGAATGAACAACAGGATCATGGCTCAGCTTACTGATATTGAAGGTCATGTTGATGAGGCTGCTGACATCATTCAGGGGGTTCAAGATAATCAGATGAATCCTCAACAACCCAGCCGGAACGTTGGATACAACGCCTTTGCGGGGCAGGGACATAGAATCAGGTCTCCGACGCCCACTCCCGGAGAAGGTAACGGTCGGGGTACTGGCCTTCCGGTGAGAGCGGGCGGAGGTGTTGATTTGGCTGATCACGCTTTGCCAGATGTGCCCGGTAGGGTCGATCCTTCTCATGCAAGCAGGCATCCCATTAATCCCGATAGGGAGAGGGCTGACAGCAGAAGCAGGAGGGCTCGGGGACTGCCTGACAGGTTGCATTCACCGCCAGGGCGTGCGAGGGATGGCCCCCGCGCACGCGAAAGGGGGGACATTTCTGTTTCTCCCAACAGGGATGTGGGTAGGAATAGGAGCCCGAGGCCTGCTGCCGTCCCCGATAGGGGATCTGAGGTCCGGAGTCGGCAATCGAGGGGGGAAAGGCCAATCCGCGATAGCGGGAGCATCTCTCCGAACCTGGATAGGCCGATCCGCGATAGCGGGAGCGTCTCTCCGAACCCAGACCGTCATCCAGGAGGTGGTAGGGGTAATAGGACCCATGCCGACATCCAGAGTCCCGGCTCCTGAAAATAGAGCTCGTGCCGACATCCAGAGTCCCGGCGATAGCTGGAGGACCCCTGGAACTCCATCTGATCGTGGACAGGCCTCGGCACCGGCTGCAAGACGAGCTCCCGGTACCGGTGGCCCAGGTGCGCCAAAGATCTGTGCCCTCGATGAACCCAACGACCGTAGGCACCCGGACGCTGAATTCTCATGTGTTACGTGCAATCGTGAGTTTTGCAGGCTTTGCCGGGGCGACGATGGGGACTGTTGCAATTGTCACTTCTTGAAGATGAAATGCTGGGCGTGTCATAAAAGTGCCCAGGAGGTTCCCATGTACACCTGCACGGAGTGTGCGAACCACATCTGCGAGGACCACAGTCATTTTGGCAATGATGGCGTCGAGCGATGTGCGCGCTGTAATATTCGGCATGAACGCGTTGTAGCTGGACCGCCCCCTCCTCCTCCTCCTGGGGGAGGAGGTGGGCAAGGCGGACCACCCGGCCAAGGTGGGGGCGGAAGTGGTGGTCATGGATATGGTCCATTTCCACCACCAGGCCCTGGACATCCCGGCGGAGGCCAAGGTCTCACTGGACCTCCTGAAGCCGAGTGGAGGGGCTCCTACCGGGGGTTACCCTGGTGGCACCTGGGTCCTATGGTAGTGCTGCTGACACTCATGAAGCTGGGAACAATCAGTGTGGTTCCAGTTTCTATGGTCCTGCCTACGGAGGTGGCGTTAGCCACCAAGGGGTTGGCGCTGGCGTTAGTCAGCCCAACGATGCTGCAGGTTACCCCTCGAGTGTTGCGAGCGGTGGTAACCTTGGGCCAGGTCTTAGCCTTGGCTACAGCGTAAATGGGGCCGGTAGGCAGGGAGATGGTGGGTTTCTCCCTGAAGCCTTGAGGGGAGATGATGGACGGGACAGATGCACTAAGTGTAGCAGGATCCCTGAGCCTGGTTTCCCTCTTGTCCCTTGCGTTGGTTGTGGAATGAGGGCGTGTGAAGTTTGCTGCCCTATGCCTGCTAGACTGTGTGAAAGTTGCAGGATTACCTCATGTACCCCGATAGGGGCTCTGATTTCCACCGTTGTCGATAAGGATCGGTTCCATCATAAGTGCAACACGATAGTGCTACCTGCTGAGCCGACAGCTGATAAGCTGCGGGAGTGGCTTTCCGAGATAAAGGAAAGGGTCAGGAATGCTTTCAGCTTTGATTCTGACTACGCGTTAGCGTGGATTTCAGAGACTGAGAGGCTTGACTATGATGCTCTTGGTGGACC